TTTTGTTGCTTTAGAAAATAATAAGAAAACTATTCAAAACAAAGGCTTCGTTTGTAACAGTTTTCTTATTATTTTTTAAAGCAAAATTTTAAACAATATATTTTTGAATAAGAAATTTTTTTTGCTAGAAAGCTACTTTAAAAAGTTGTCCCAAACAAAGCCCGAGTCTAAGACTTTATTTGAGATAGCTTCTTACCGCAATTTTTCCACTGTTTTTTTTTTAAAAAAAATTTTGAACTAAAAAAGTACCGTAAAAAACAGTAAGAAAACTATAAAAAAAAACCTAAATCATAGATTTTGGAATCAATTATATAGTTATATGCATAGATGCATTGAAGTTCCAAGTTTTCTTTGTAATTTAGTATTTGGTGCAGATCTTTTGGTGAAAAAAGTAGATGTAAACTTTTTCTTAGATGGTTCTGTAGGATTTGATTTTGTGTGAAAAAAAAAACTTCAAAATCTTACTATTCATGCTGATGAAGGAAAAGAAGGGAGAGGAAAGAGAAGAAGCTAAGTTTGAGAGAAAAAACTCGACTTGATTTCACTATCAAGAGAGAAGAGCTTCTAGTCAAACTACAAGCGTAGCTGAAGGAATTTCAGAAAAGAAGACAAGTTGCATATACAATTCTTATGGATCTTCCATAGTTGCAGAGATAAATGAGTACTTCAATGATGTATAGATTGACATTGTTCAATGTAGGTGGCAAGTCCTTGAGCTTATTACTAACTTCTCAAAGCCAACATGCAGAGATACATCATTTTGTTAAGGCAATTTCAGCAAAAGGCAAGTCACTGAACCAAGGAGCTAGCTAAGAGCATCAAAGAACCAAGTTCATGGTGAACTTGTTAGTGAAGCCAAAGCTGCCAATGAGGATGACATCAATAGGAATTGGGAACCACCCGTTGCAAGAGAAGGTAGAAAACTAACGCTTCTTTCGGGATAGTTTTTTACCATTTTTCACCGCTTTTAAAGAAATTTGGGGGATTTACATACATACCACTTTATTTCATATTGTTTACATATTTAAGACCATAATCATTAATATTACATGCCTACTACTCAAATACAGTTTTAATATCAAATATATCACTAATATAATTCATTTATACTATTCATACCATCTTATAAACTTTAATATTTCATTATATGCATCCAAATTCATTCAATAGATGGTAAGCATGTAATATTAATGTTTTGAATGTTAGATATGTAAATAATATGAAATAACGTGGTATGTATGTAAATCCCCAAAAAAATTATACTAAAATAAGTATTGTAAAAAATATTTTAATGTACATAATTACAAAAATGAATGACTTTTTACGTTTAAACTCTGCACGTAATGATTTTTGTGGAGCATAAGCAATTCACACTAGTACATGATAAGTACAAAGTTGTTTTTTTTTTTTTTGGACATTTAGGCCAAGGCAAACTCACACACACAACGCATACACAAAGACTCGAACCCTGAATCTCTTAGTTGGAAGCCTAAGCTCTCAACCAATAGGCCAAGGAGAGTTGTGTAAGTACAAAGTTATCAATCGACAAACAACTCTTTGATGTGACTGAACGAAATAACATGACAAAGGCATTCCCATGCTTTTTTCTATAATAATGATACCCTTGTTCTCCTTTTCCTTTATGTCCTCTAGCTTGAGCAAAATTGTAATGTATTTAAATGATTGAAATGTTCTTCAAATAAAAAATGATTTCAACAATTCAATTGAGGGATTATGTTCAAAGGATTGACTCCAAAGGTTTTGAATGACTAAGAGTTCGTTTAAGGCTTCGTTTATGGCTGTTTTTTTGCTGTTTTTAAAATAATTTTTTAATATAAATGTAATATTTTTGTACTAAAACTTCGTTTTATGAAGAAGTAAGAAAATTTGTCCCAAATAAAACCTAAAACTACTATAATTTTTATAAAGATGATTTAAAATTGCTATCAAAAAAGTAACTTTTTTAAAACTATTATATGAAATAGCTTTTTAGTATAAATCTTTTTTGAAAGTAGCAAAAAAATATTGACCAAATGAAAATTATGATCATGAACTTAAAAATATTGGAATAAAAAATTTGTCCCAAACAAAGCATAAGTGATATGATTTCATAGAGTAGCAAGATGCCTTTCCCTTCTATTTATGATTCATTATTATAATTATAATTAATAAATAATATCAAATAAAATAGAAATAACAAATGGAAAATATTTTTTAATTTATAATTTTAAGGAATCAAATCTATCTAAAATATAAAAAATACTATATTATAGTAAGACACAAAACTAGTTACAAATAAATTTGAGATCAATTGCCCATAAAATGAAATATTGTTAGTTACAAATCAATTTATGCACATAAAGCAAGATAAAATTTGATAATGCCATATGCCAAACTCAAATTTATGATATCTATTCTGAATTATTAGGGAACATGCAATTTGGAGTTTTGAGCTCTTTGAATGTTATGAAATTATTTAGATGTACAATCAAATAATACAATTTTCTTTTTATTTACAATCATTTTGATATTTTTGAAGTTGAAATGTTTTGAAAATTTATTTATTTAGGCCAAGTTTTTTTACTACTTTAATTTCTCTATTTGACTACAACTTTTTTTATTGCTTTTAAAAAATTTTTATACCAAAAACTATTTTAACAATAAGAAAATTAAGAAATTATCTCAAATGAAGCCTCATCCTTTCGACTGCCTTACTTCATTTTATGAATAATAATTAAAAAAAATTACAAAAATTAACACATACATAATATATGAAATTAGGCTTCGTTTGTGATTACTTTTTTATTGCTTCTGAAATTAAAATTTTAGTACAAAAATTTGCTTTAGCTTTTTTTAAAGGATATATCATCAACATACCATCATTTTCTTCCTTTCTTTTAAATGAGTTTTTATATTATATGAAATAGAAATATTTGTTCCATCATTCATTATCAATATTATATTGGAATTTTCTATTAAATATTATCATACATAAATTGGTATAATAATTTTTTTAAAATTACATTATTATAATACAATTATTCACTGAATGGTGCAGTGAGTCATTAAAAAAAATAAAAAAATTCAACCTTTACAACTTTGATTGGGATTTTAAAATGCATGCATCCCATCTCTCCATTGAAACAAATGCATTGGCATTAATTGATAAGTGGAAAGTTTGAGCTCCACTATCAAAAGAAGTGCAGAATTTTAATAGAGCATTGCTTATATGTCTCTCCATGCACTAAATGAGAATTCCTGCCATCTATTTGTCTATTATTATTATTATTATTATTATTACAAAATAGTGAACAAAAAAAAAATATATAATATATATATAACAATAAATTGATTGTATTGAAAGGAAATTATCTCTTTCATTATTAATAAATTGGCTGGTGAATAATTTTTTTAGTATAAAAATTAAAATTTTTGTACTTAAAAGCTGTTAGAAGTAGTAAAAAATCCATTCCAAACGAATTCTTAGGCTTTATTTGAGACAACTTTCTGACTGTTTTGCTTTACAGACAATAATTATAATTTTTATTTGATCACTGCTTTTTTATTATTTTCAATAAATTTCTGTGTTAGAAATCTATTTTCTATATCATATTTTAAAAAAGTTACTTTATTCGTAGCAGTTTTATAATCACCTTTATTAAAAACTGCAACATCTGTCTGAAATGGATTCATAGTCTTCGTTTGACACAGCTTTCTTATTGCTTTCGAAAGAGATCAAAAAAAAAAAAAAAAAAAAAAAAAAAAAAAAAAAAAATCTATTATAGAAAATTTCTTCTTCCACCCTCCACGTTCATAGTTCATTAGTGTCTTAAATACTTCATAGCACTACTGCGAAGACTGTGCTGCATATTTATTTTGGTGGATGGGAGATTGTCAATCTGTCACTTAAAAAACATAAAATAAAAAGAATTATAGTGCTTCAACATTAATGCGAGCATGGCCAAGAGAACACCTTAAGGGAATATCTTCAAGCTATTTGGATCTTTATGACTAAGCATTGTCCAAAGTAATTGGAATTTTATGAGACAAAGCTTTGATTTTTAATATTATCCATATAAAAATTGCCTTGACTAAAAACACCTTTTATAAGCATTTGTCTTGAAACTCCAATAATGAAAATAATTCAAAATATTCATAAAATTATTCGTGTGTGACCAATTTACTTTTACAGTATCACATTGGTCTAATTTAGGCCTTATTTGGAAAGGTTTTTTACCGCTTCTTAAATCAACTTTTTAGTACAAAAATTATTAAAGCAGCTTTTTAGTAAAAAATTTTAATTTTTGCACTAAAAAGCTGATTTAAGAAGCGATAAAAAGCTGTCCCAAACAAACTTTAGTCTCTCAAATATACAAAATTAAACCAAATGTTCCCCCATGTTATAATTGTGACATAAAATTGAACTCAATTTAGCACAAAAAGTCATTTTAGATCAATTTTTATATAATCAAGAGATTAATTTGACCTAATAAGATACTCTGAAATTAAATTGATCATATATGAATAGTCTGAGCACTCTTTTAAAGTTTATCATATTAATAATTTATAGTGTCAAAAACAATGTTACATTTGATTTCATTTTTCTCCTAATTTTTTCATTAAGCATTTGTTTTAGCAACAAAAGCAACTCAACCAATAACCTTTCTCTTTGCTGCTGCGCTAGTCAATAACAGTTTATGAAAGGAGATGGGAATTCTACAAAAACGTCTCAAATTCTCGAGATATTATTTTGTGCGGACGCCGAATGCAGTTCACCATTCGGAGACCAATCAGAATATGGCACGTCAACGGTATCGAGGTCTGTAATGCGCAGTACCGAGTCGTGGTACCGAGCTCGGCATCCACACAAAATAATTTCACCAAATTCTCACTCAGATTCTTTAAAAAAAAATAACAACAACAACAATAATAATAATAATAATAAGGCGTGTTATCTTGAAAAGAAAGATTTTTCATTTTCCACCCTTTTTATTTCCAAATTAAAAAAACAAAACAGAAAACATGATAGCATTGGAAGTAAGAATGATTCCAAGTTGAAGGAACTTTCCCATATACTAACTATCTACAAAGTCTTAAGAACAATGCAAGAAGACAAATGAAGAATATACAAATAAGAAGGCTTGTACTGATCCCAACTAACATAAGAACAGATACAGAAATAAAACAACAAAGAAAACACCCTATATTGCGTCTCCCAATATCTTCACCAATGGAAGATAGAAGAACCAAAAGCCTTGGGAGAGTTTGATGTCTCTTTTGGGACCAATAAGAGTACAGAATCAGACCGTTTGGTTCTTCATTCTTTCCTCATTTTTAAATTTCCCACACTTCACTTTAATTGCAAAGCTTCCTTTGGCCTCCCTAAGAGGGACAGAACCGTCGCTGCGATATGGTTCGAAGAGAGCCCTGCTTCATCAATCTGATCCTGTGGGGCTCCATGGTCTATGTATCTATCAGGAAGAACCAATGATCTCAACTGCAACAGCAGAAGGGAAAGAAGAGGAGATTCAGTAATATTAAAGATTTAAGATGGTGTATCAATAACCATTCTTGATGAATTAAGGCTTCGTTTGGGACGGCTTTCTTACTGCTTCTTAAATTAGTTTCATAGTAGAAAATTTAAAATTTTTATACTAAAAAGATGTTGTAAGAAATAGTAAGAATGCGAAGCCTAAAACTTTAGGGGAGAGAGTTTATACCTTGAGATGCCCATCAAGGAGGCCATCCAAGCTTAAGAAATGAGTAACATGAGATCCAAAACCTCCAATAGAACCTTCTTCAGCTGTGATCAGAAACTCATGCTCATTTGCCAGTCTTCTTATGAGATCCACATCAAGAGGCTTACAAAATCGAGCATCAGCCACAGTAATTGAAACATTATGATCTTTTAAGCTCTTTGCAGCCTTCAAACAGTTCTGAACAATGGATCCATATCCAAGAATCGCAATTCGAGTTCCTTCGACAAGAATTCTCCCCTTTCCAATCTATAATCGAAGGCAAAATACTACTTAGCTTAAGAATCACTTACCAAGAGAAGTTCATGAAGATTTTTACCTCAAGAGGAGTGCCTTTGTTTCTAGTAGGAAGGGGAACTCCAACTCCATTCCCTCTTGGAAATCTGAAACAGCTTGGTCTGTCATCTATGGCCGCTGCTGTTGCAACCATATGCATCAGCTCAGCTTCATCAGCTGGGGCCATCACAATCATGTTTGGCAAGCATGCCATGTATGCGATGTCGAATGCTCCGCAATGTGTTGGTCCGTCAGCACCGACAAGTCCCGCTCGGTCCATCGCGAAGCGCACGGGTAGCTTCTGTAAATCTACATCATGCACCACCTTGAAGCACAAACATCCATATAAGTTTGTTAAAATGAGACGATTTATGCAGGTGCAATTCTTCAAATTCATAACTTTGGCTATACCTGGTCGTAGCCTCGTTGAAGGAAAGATGAATATATAGCACAGAAAGGCTTGAGACCTTCAGTGGCTAGACCTGCAGCAAAAGTCACAGCATGCTGTTCTGCAATTCCAACATCAAAGCATCTTTCAGGAAACTTCTTCTGAAAATAATTAAGTCCTGTTCCTCCTCCCATAGCAGCATGGATGGCCACAATCTTACTATCCTCTTCAGCTTCTCTTATAAGTGAATCTGCAAAGTATTGAGTGTATGAAAGAGTGGCCTGCTTTGGCTTGGCTTGTTTCCCTGTCTTTGCATCAAACTTAACAACACCTACAAGAAAATGATAAGAAATTATAAGAAAAATCAGTTGTAAAATTAAAAATGATAGATTGATAAATGATTATTACTTTATGGTGACATAATAAACTAAGGCTTTGTTTGGGACGACTTTCTTGTTGCTTCATAAAGTAGCTTTCTAGTTCAATAATTAAAATTTTTGCACTAGAAAGCTGCTTTAAGAAGCAACAAGAAAGCCGTCCCAAACGAAGCTTAAACCGAGCTGAGGGAAAAAGTCAAAATTTACCGTGCATCTTATCAGCGGCAGCCTCGGCAGGGGGGTATCCTTTTCCTTTCTCTGTAACAACATGGACGAGAACTGGACCAGGAGCAGGCATAGACTTCACCTTCTCGAATATTGTCACCAAATCATCGATGTTATGGCCATTGACGGGTCCTATGTAATACAATCCAAGCTCCTCAAACAGTGAAGATCCTGACGCGCTAATCATCCCTCTTGCATACTCATCCACTTTCGCTGCAACTTCATGTGCATGTCCTCCAATCTGCTTTGTGATGCTCTGCTCAAATAATATAAATTATAAGAGAAAGCACATGTTTTGTAACATAAATCAATGAAAATGTTTCAGAAAATTTGGCATAGGGAAGAATCATCTTTTGAGTTCACTAATTCTTTCTTCAAATTTGATTTTTTGGCCTGATCTACGAAGCTGGAGTGGAATTCACTCGCCCATGTGTTACACGCTTAACATTTTTTAATACTGAAGGAAGGTAAAATTTCTGCTGATCTTATCCACATCCATAAATTATATATATAAATAGATAGAATAATTTTGAACAATATTTATTCAGTTTTTTTTTTTATAAGCTAAGAAGGAAATATCATTAATGAAATACTGAATACAAGATAAGTTAGTTCCAAATTCCCCAAAAGTCCACAAAGATAGAAAGAACTCAGAAATATTTGCATAGAATTTACCCATTATTTACATGCATTAACTGCATAAATCATCAACCACTAGTTCAGTGATATTTGATTTGATCTCCAAGTACAAGTTTAAGGTTTGAATCCATTAAATACATAATGAAAGTGACTTCAAAGTTTTTCTACCTTGCAAGAAATTCTTTCTTCCGTCTAACTTCCAACATAGTAAAGAAAGCTATGCCAGATTCATGTAAAAGCCCGTTTGGTTGCTTGTAATCAGAAAACATGCTTATTAAAAAGTACAACAACAACAACAACAACAACAACATCTAGCCTTTATTCCACTACGTGGGGTTGGCTATATGAATCCTTTTTCTCCATTGTGTAGTGTTAATAGTCAAATTCTCATATAAATCTAATAAAGGAAGGTCATTTTTAATATTGTCTAATCAAGTCTTTTTAAGTCTACCTCTACCTTTCCTAACATAGGACAAATCTAATACATCTACTCTCCTAACAGGGTCATCGGAAGGCCGCCGTTTTACATGACCAAATCATCTAAGGCGACTCTCTCAAATTTTATATGTCATTGGAGCTACTTCAACCTTTTCAAGGATATGCTCGTTTCATATACTGTCTCTAAGAGTAAATCCACTCATCCACCTAAGCATCCTCATCTCAGCAACCTTTAACTTAATATTATGCTTCCCTTTCAATGACCACCATTCTGCGCCATAAAGCATTACATGTCTCACCACCATCTTATAAAATTTTCCCTGGAGTGTCACTTTTCTATCACACAACAAACCAAAAGTATTCATTTACTTCAACCATCCAACTTGAATTCTACTAATAATACCCCCATCTATTTCACCATCACTCTGAACATACTCAAGATATCTAAAATGAATACACTTATTAAAAAAAAAAAAATTAAAAAAAAAAAAAAACTGATGATTTAGTTTTGACTCATTAGAAGGAATATGTAGAGCTTAAAATTAAAATTAATTTATAAGAACATTTACAAAACAAAGTTACCACCTTTGCCGCTTCCCTGAGTTTTCGCAACTTGGTGCTAGCCTGAAGCTTGGAGAGGGCTCTGCTGAGAGCTCCCACAGGAGTTGCAGGCCCATCGAGTGTGGCCGTCGGCAAAGATACTTGCCGGTTATCATTAAGCACAATTATAAGATTGGAATCCAAGAACCCTGAATTGTTCATAGCCTCGTAAGCTTGTCCGGCTGTCATAGCTCCATCTCCAATTACAGAGATGACTTGGTTCTGCTTGCCCAACAAATCCCTCGCGACCGCCATTCCTAGAAGCACATCCAGAGCAGTAAAAACATCAATTAGCCCCTCTTTGATCATAAAGACATCACATTAACTTTGATAAAAAACACAGCTAGAATACCAAGTCCTGCAGAAATGCTTGTAGAGCTATGGCCAACCCCAAAAGCATCATAGATGCTCTCTTCCCTTTTTGGAAAACCAGCAAGCCCAGATGTCTTTCTTATGGTTAACATCCTTGATCTCCTTCCTGTCAATATTTTATGCGGATATGCCTGCAAAAAAAGAATCTTTCTTGCTCAAACTCTGCGAATCCACACAACAATCCGAGATTAAAAAAAAAAAAAAAGAATAGTTCACCCATCCAGACCTGATGGCCAACATCCCAGATGATCCTGTCATCAGGAGCATCGAACACATGATGAATAGCCACAGCAAGCTCCACCACTCCAAGACTAGAGCTCAGGTGCCCGCCAGTTTTAGACACAGTGTACACTATTTCAGCTCTCAGTTCCGCGGCAAGCTGCTCCAACTCCTATATAGAAGGCAACAAATTTCATGAAGAAGGAAGGGAAGGAAGAGGAGAAAGAAAAATAGTTTCCAAATGGAAATCATGAGTACATGAACTGATAGATTCTTCATGTGGATGGGGAAGTTGATGGTATCCAACAACGGAGTCTCCGGCTTCTCTCCTGTGAAATCAATCCTCCATCTACTCTTATCTTCCCTAACCGCAATCGTCTGATCCCCATCACGGCTACTTGCTCTCAGATAAACCTGAAAAAAAAATGAATTTTGTTTGGAAGAAGATAGGCCGAAAAGGGAAACAGGAAATGAAGATAAAAAAGGCTGGATTTTGTGCAAGCCCACAAAGGAAAATGGAGAAAGGTGGGATCTTTCTCGTATTAACAATACCCGACGCCGGCAGCCGGCGCTAGGTAAGAGCGCCGGTTGGACAGAGAGCCATCTGGCGGCCGTTAGAGAGGTAGAAAACGCCATTGCAGGAAAGAGACGAAGTCGATGAAGGAGAAGATGAGAAGTGTTGAGAGCCTTATGAATGGCGATTGATCAGAGGTGGAGCTTTATAAGAGTTGCAGAAGCGGAGCAAGGTGGAAAAAAAAATACACAACTCTCCTTGCCTATTGATTGAGAGCTTAGGCTTTCAACTAAGAGGTCCAAAGTTTAAGTTCATGTATATACGTTGTGTGTGTAAGTTTGTCTTAGATGGCCTAAATGTCCAAAAAAAAAAAAAGTTGGAAAAAAAATGACGCGCCTATGTGGGAATTCGCTGTTTCACTTTTAAGTTTAACCATTCTTTCTTAATTCGGGTGAAGTAATGGATGAACTATAAACTATTGGGGATTTAATGGATTTCGGGTTCGTTGCATTCCACCTGTAAGAAATTAGTTGACTCTGTCTTTGTATACTTGTAGTATACGTGCCTCAAACGGCGAATTATTGCCTTGGGTCATTGGATGTCGGGACATCCAATTCAGTGACGTCACATCACCCAGATATACTGAATTTCGGTGCATTTTGATGATGTGGCGACACCGGATTGGTGACCGGACGAATCCGGACACCGGACGCAACAATTTGCAGCCTCAAACAGCTATGCTTTCACCATATATAAAAATTCTTTATTTTACGGAAAATCCATATAAAAATTCTGACTGATCTGAGTTTCTCCTTCAGGAGAAATTATTGTGCGGTCACAGGATTCAGTTCAGAGGCGAATCAGGATACTTCATATCATTATTTTGTTATGTAATGTTTTATATTAGGTAATATGATGTATCCTAATTTATCTCCGAATAATCTGATAACCATAAGAACTAATTTCTCCTCGTTCAGATATTAATCATCCGATCTAAAATGGATTGCAGCCTAATTTGAAAGGAAGGAAAATATCCTTGATAATTGGAGAATGTAACGGTTTTTTAATGCAATGTGAGAGAAATAAATAAGAACAAAATATGGAAGATTTATACATGAATTAAAAAATTATTATATAATTATATATTTAATATTTAAATAATTATATTTATTTATATATTATTTTAAAATCAAATTATAATATATATTATTTTAAATAAGTTATTAATAATAATATTTTAATATGAATTATAAATTTAAATATTATATAAGTAAATATTAAATATATTAAAAATTATCTCAAAATTAAATATAATATAGACATGCACTCATTCATTTTCATCAATTTTTAATAAGTTTTCTTGTTACCATTAATGTTGAAAAATAGTTAAAAATTTACAAATGCGGACAGAGAAAAAAATACAAAATAGAGAAAAAGATTACAATATGAAAAACTTAGGATTTTATAGAAGTCTAATTAATTGATGATTATAGCTTATTATAATAGCTGTAGATTTCATTATATAAACAACAGTTCTAATTTTTTAGATGAATGACGATACTGCCCCTCTCTTTCTAAAAAGGAAATTTTGGATAGGAAAAATATAGAGTAAAATATCCCAAATTTAAGCTTCACAGCTCAACAATTATTATTTATTAAGCTCAAATATTCATCGATTGTATGCCGCAAAGTTCAGCAGCTCGATTGATGTGGCCATGAAAATTACATAATGATTTTTTTTATATCAACACATGCCATTATGAAAATTTTAGGCGAAAAAAAGGCCTGAAAAGGTCAAGGATGTTGTTTTCATATGGGTATTTAAAATATTGATATTTAATAGGATGAAAAAGTAAGGAAGGATAACATAAAAATAATATATAGGAAATATTTTATTTTATTTTTAAGGTAACGTAAATTCATCTAATTTTGAGCGAAAATAATTTTCACTGGAAGCGATCTCTCTTGCCGCCATTTGTTGCAGATCGTCGCCATCACCCCTACCACACGTTAGCCACCACCACAGTCGCTACCTGTCGTTTGCCACCACCTTTGTCGGCCACCTTCATTCGCCACTATCACGATCGCTCATCGCCATTATCATTATTAGACTTTACGTTCCGTTCATTTTACTTTATACCAAATAAAAAATAACATTGATTTGCATTACTTTTACATCCAAATAATATCAAAATAATTCTTTTACATTGTACTTTTTTTTTAACATTGCATTCTTTTTTTTACATCCAAAGAATAAATTGCGGTTTTAAAGAAATATGCTATTTCATTTGACAAATTTGTTTCAATTTAAATTTTATATTAAACATACTCTTGCTAATTATGGGGCTTAATGCGCTCCTTTATATAATAAACCTTTTAGTTAAAGACATGGGAGGATCCTCCTTGATGTCAGGATAATAAATAAATAAATAATATACTAGCGGGGGGCATTTTCACCCCCCCCCCCCCCCCCCAAACCCCCCCCCCCCTCAAAAGAACATTTTTGTTCTAATATTGTCATCCTAATCGTCGCCTGCTCATCTTGCAAGTTCACACTTCGAAGCCGTTTTCACGATTCACGCATTCGACATTCGACGTCACCGCCTCGCATGTGTCTTGTTCCCAATCTCATTAGACATTCCCAATACGTAATAGGAAGATAAATGATAAAAATTTCCTCCTATAAAATTGATAATATTATGTTGATTATTTTTTTTATTTTATTTTTGTTATTATTACTATTAGATGTTATTATTTTATTTTATTTTTATTGTTGATGTATAATTAATTAAAATTTTATCCACCCTGAAAAAAGAAATTTGATCCACCCTTGATTAAAGAAGTTTAATGAATATTAAATTTAAGGTACAGAAAAGTAAAAATAAATCACAATTTTAAAGAAATCGTAAAAACGATTTATGGTTTCTCTAAAAACTGAAAAAAAAAAAAATTACGGCTTCTCTAGAAACCGAAAAAAAAAAAAGATCCAGTTAAAAAAAAAAAACGAATTTACAAATTATCTTATTACTCGTACTCCCTACAAATTCTCTAACGTGTACATATATTAACTACTTATTTATATATATCAATTTATGTTTATCAACTTAAGTAGTTATGTTAATTTATACTAACATATATTTATTAAAAATATAAGGTATTTAGTAATATCTAATATATCTGATATATATCTCCTGCCTATTTTCTCTCTTTTTGTTTGAGTGAATACGTTAATTAAAATATTTCATTTAGAATGTACTATTTTTTTTGACGCATTCTCAATGCGCTATTTCATTTGACTAATTTATTTATTTTTAAATTTTGTATTAAACATCTCGTTAATATGAGATTTAATACGCTCTTTTCTAAAATTTGTCCTTAACTAAATTAAAAAAATAATCTGCTCCTTTTAAAAATTTAACCTTCCTTTCAAACTAAACAAAAATATTTTTTTTATTAGTTAAAATGTTTTAAATTTCATTGCTTCGTCGTTTCTATTTTCATTTTTTTTTTCTATTTAAACTTTTTTCTCGACTCGTTCAAATCAAATAAGTCTTAAAGTCTTAAACTACTCAAATAAGAGGGTTTGTTTTATATGAACATTAATTTTCTTTTCTTTATGATATTGAAATGAAATTCAAAACTCTTCGAATATGAATCGAAAATTTTTTTTGACCCAAAATTAACTCATTTAAAATATTCTTATTATTATTTTTTTAATTTGGACTTGATCTTATTATTTTTTATCAAATATCATAAATTTTAGAGTTAACAATTTATATAATTTTTTTTTAACCAAAACAAGTTAATAGGTCTGGTTCGAATCATTCATGTTTCTAGTGGTTTGAGTACGTTCATGTTTTTGACCCGTTTATTAAATAGGTCGAGTTCAGATTGTCTGAATTCATGTCGAGTAAATTTCAAATTAGACCCAAACCAGACCCATTAACTCATTTTGACACCCTTAATCTTTAGTGCATTATAATTCATAATTATCTTATTAAAAAAAGAATTAAATTTGAAGGGGTTCTTGGTTGGGAGCTTTGACTTCCAATCAAAAAGATTTGTGTGACTTTAAGATTTAATTCTCTCAAAATAAAAAAAATAAAAAATATTTGAAATGAATCATTTTATATGGAGGCAATTATTTGTTCAAGGAATTAATAAATAAAATATTGTTAAATATAAACATTTGGTAGAAAGCCGATTATAATGGGCATGATTAGGCATGAGATATTTGAAATATTTAATGTGAAAATTTTAGAAAATTCCATTTGTAATAGAAATGGGTACAATCAAAGTAATTATTTAGAGGAATATATAAAACTAATGAAATTGAATTTTATTAGAATACTATAGATTTGTGTCCTCTTTTTGCATATGTTTACAACATGAGTCATATGCTCCATTTATAGTATTTAATCATTCTAATAGATTCTAAGTAAACATGATAAATATAGGGATCTAAAGTTTTGTTTGGGACAACTTTCTTCATGTTTTCTAAAACAGCTTTTTATTGCAAAAATTTTGTATTAGAAAACTGTTTTAGAAAATAATAACAAAGTTATTCCTATTGAACTGATAATGAATGTAAGGCTATATATATAATGAAATATGTGGTAATGAAGAACCTTAAATTATTATTTTGACGATAATGCATGAGATTATTGAGTTAGATTATAATGGATAGAATGTGGAATTACTCAAATCTGATTGATGTAATAATGATGGAAGATGATTTAATATTAGGCTTCGTTTGTGACAGCTTTCTTACATCTTTATGAAACTATTTTTTAGTACAAATTTTTTTATGATATAAATTTTTTGTACTAAAAAAGTTGTTTCATAAAACAATAATAAAGTTGTCCCAAATAAAGCCTCATCATCATGAGCCACTTGAATTTGAGCTTTATCCTTCTTTGTTTTTTTTTTCCCCTTAAAAGATGTATTATACAAAGACATGAATGTGCATAATTGATAGTTTGTAAAGTAGGGAAACATAATAAATATTATACTCCATAGTTGTAGAGCTTGCTAGATAATGAAGACCAATATAAATATCATTAACAGACAATCAAATGAGTCGTCTGCTAGGATTTTTTTCCGCCTCCGGCTCTCTCGTTCTCATGGAGAATAAAAGGTCAGACATTGACTTTCTTGAGGGTAAGCATTACAAATCCTTCAAAGAGGTGTTGTCTGGTGATGTCTTGAAGATTTTTCTGGATTTTCGT